GCAGTGCTGCATTTAACCACTGCGCCACCTCGGCTCCTCAATTTAGAAATAATTTAGATTATTTCTGTTCCAAATCTGGGTAATGTCACCAATAAAAAAATAATTTTGGATTGCATGCGTGAGGGGAAGGCATATATGAAGACACCGGTTCTTATATCAATGAACTGTTGATTTTAATTCAGAAATCTCATGTTGATTAACACAATTTGAACTACAGATAGGATCCTATCATCGGTCCTTTCCAATTAGCATGCAGAGAAAACAAAACTCTTTTGTTCACATCATAAGTCTATGATGTTGCATTCATACATACCTAGTAATGTATCTTCTGGATGAAGATCAGTTGTAGCAGGGGACATTGGTGCATTGATAGCATTTTTACCTTCTTCTTGCAAATCAGACACTGAAAGAATGGAGAGGTCCAAAGATTTTTTAATTGTAGATAGCTTAAAATTAGATTTATTTCTAAAAGGTAAAGGTTCCCCTTGCACATATGTGCTAGTCGTTCCCGACTCTAGGGGGCAGTGCTCATCTTTGTTTCAAAGCCAAAGAGCCAGCACTGTCCGAAGACGTTTCCATGGTCATGTGACCAGCATGACTAAACACCGAAGGCGCATGGAACGCTGTTACCTTCCCACCAAAGGTGATCCCTATTTTTCCATTTGCATTTTTACATGCTTTCGAACCGCTAGGTTGGCAGAAGCTGGGACAAGTAACGGGAGTTCACTCCATTATGCAGACTAGGGATTTGAACCGCTGAACTGCTAACCTTTCTGATCGACAAGCTCAGCGTCTTAGCCACTGAGCCACTGCGTCCCTTAGATTTATTTATACTTGGAGACAAATGCTTCATAGATTGTATTTCTCCTTGCTTGGATTGAATATCCTGACTGGAGTTATGCTAAACATCTCCAATTTTTAGGCTGACTGTTTATTACAGTCCATAATTATTCTACAGTCTGCAAATTTTGAAGATTTTGTTCCCCTTTTTATTTCACCTCTTTTCATTCTTTCTCAAGTGACTGTAGCTAATTCAGATAATATATTGGAGAGGTAAATCAAACATATATCATTGTGTTCTCAGCTGGTGGAGGGACTTTCTAGAATAGAAGTCTTTATTGGCCAAGTGTGATTGGATACACAAGGAATTTGTCTCAGCGTACATATAAACAAGTGATAAATCATGATCATAATAATAAATCATAAGGTACAACACTCGGTGTTACTCATAGGATACTAAATAAGCATACTATTTTCAAGTCGCATAAAATTCTTAGTATCTTTATAACCTTGAAAGAAGAACAGAACTCAAACTGCAAACTAAGCATGTTAAGTGGGCAGCATATGAAAGGGGTGCAATCTGCTTTAGTCCTCCAAATTATTAAAACAATATTTCTTTTAACGTCATGTATCTTCCTCTGTTCTTACTGAAGCACAATGGAAGAACAAGCCATGAAAGTCTTAAAATTTGCTACTCAATCAATTGAAAGAGCAAAAGACTAGTACAGCATAAGCTTCTCCAATGCTGAATGATTGAGAATTGTGATGAGGAAAAACAGAAACAGCCATGCTACGTATGCCCGTGATGCCGAACCTATGGCACACGTGCCCAAAATGGCATGCAGAGCCATGTCGCCTGGCATGTGTGGCCTTGCCTGTTCCACTTCCAGGTTTCTGGCACACATGCGTGTGACGATCAGCTGGCTTTTGCCCGTGCGGCAGGTCCCGGAAATCGGAAGAGCATTTCTGGGTTCTTCAAGACATCAGCCTTACTCAGCGTTAAAACAAATGCCAGATTAAATTAAAAAAACCAGAGGCCTTGAATAAAATGAACCTTTTCTGCCATTTGCTAAAGCAACAACTATTGTGTTCTAGACAATAAAACTGCACTAAAGGAGGCCAACTCCCGAAAACTGAAAACACCAGAACAAAGATGGACTGTTCTCCTCCATTCGGTTTGGATTCTTTCGACTCCACCGCTACCACCTCCCGGTCATTTCTTCAGAAAGAGTCACTTCTCTGCATTAAATGATGTTACTTTGGCTATGCTCACTGGCTGGATGCTGCATCAGAGACATCCATTGGTGGAGGGGAGGTTGAAAAAGGCAGCATTTTGGCCACAATGCATATAAAAAAGAGGTGAAGCTTCAATCACACAGTAGCCGATAATCCGGCATTGCCTGGGTATTTATTTATAGGGGGGAAATGTCCAGACCAAATGTAATTTCTGGTGTTGGATTTTTCCCCTTACCAGAACATGTGGAGTACTGTGAAGCCTCTAAGAACAACTTCTCCCTGAGTCCTGATTTTGGCGACAATTAAATTAGTTAAAAATGTTTTCCCTGTGCCCCCAGAAGCGTAATTATTAATGTTGGATTTTCCCCCTTATCGGAGAGAGTCCCCTTGTGGAGTACTGTGAAGCGGTTACCACGGCAACTCTACTGCACTGTACAGTAGAGGCCTTTTTAAGGCTGTACAGTAGAAGCCATTTTAAGGCACAACAGGCTGTATCTTAACAGAACACATACCCCAAGAGGTATTAGGGGTGTCTTATCCCCACAGTATTTTTCCCAGAGAGTAAATCATCTGTGTACCAAGTTTGGTTGAAATTGCTCAAGGCATTCCAGAATTACACTGGAATATACACATACACACACAAACAGCCGTTTTTATATATATAGAAGAGTTTGTGTGTGTGTGTGTGTGTGTGTGTATGAATATGTATTTCACCTCAACCCAAGTGCCTCTGGTTTACTCTCCCAATTTTACTGTAGTACTTACCAGAGATTTCCTTTCCAACCAATTATGTAGGCTTAATTTGTTATGTAGACACCTTCTCCAACCAACCACCCTTCAGATAATTTAGGCTAGTGACAATCCTGACAAATTTAAGAGATGTGGACTTCAACTCCCAGAATTCCCTGGGCAGAGGGATTCTGGGAGTTGAAGTCCACACAACTTAAAAGTTGCCCAAGTTGAGAAATACTGACTTAGACTGTAATATCACAACCTGCATAGCCACTATCCACATGAGATGGGGATATGACCTGATATATTACAAAAAACCCACTTCATTTGCTATTAATGGTTCTCACGGGGAAAAACAAAAAGTGATCACATTCTCTGCCCCAAATCACATAGTTCCAGCTACAACTTAAAAACAGCTAACCATAATCCACATTGCTGTAATAGTGCACCATTACATCACTTCAAATGATGGTCAACATCTCTGATCATGATCCGTTTTCAGCCAGTTGTTGAAAAGGTGACAATCCTTTTTCAGATTTTCCCTCCTAACCAGAGGTGGGTTCCTGCCAGTTCGCACCAGTTCGGTAGAACCGGTTCGTCAAATCTACCGAACCGATTAGAAGAGGTTCCACCAGTGGACCTGGAAAGCAGGCCACACCTACAGAAGAGGTTCTAAAAATTTTTGAAACCCACCAGTGACACACATACACACACCCACACACATACACAGACAGACAGACAGACAGACAGACAGACAGACAGACAGACTCACACAGAGAGAGAAAGAGAAAGAAAGGAAGAAAGGAAGAAAGAAATAAAGAAAAAAAGAAAGAAAAAGTGAGAGATGAAAGAAAAAAGGAAAAGGGGATAGAGAGACAAAAGGAAGGAGAGAGAGAGAGAGAGAGAGAGAAAGAGAAAGAAAGAAAGAAAGAAAGAAAGAA